TCATAGAATTCCAAGAAACCACATTTTTCACAGGCATTTCCTCAAACAACTGACGTGCGGAGTCCGCATCACCACACTTCATATACATATCTACCAGTGCATTGCCAATAAAAACATCGGAATAAACATCATGAACATCACATATATTCTCATGGATTCGGGTGCCTAAACTCAAGTCTCCTAGCCTAGAACAAGCTGAAAGGACGACAACGAGCGTCCTCTTATCGGGTTGTAAATTTGCTCTGCACATATCAAAGTAAGCCCGAATGGCTTCTTTGGCAAAACCCATTTTAACAAAAGCTTGAATAAGGGTGGTCCAAGACACCAAGTCTCTTTCAGGACTTTGATCGAACAGTTCTTTAACATATTGAGTAACCCCACAGACAGCATAAAGACGCATCAGGGTGTTGAGAACATAAACATTGGAACTAAGACCAAACTTAACGGAATGTGCATGGATTTGTCGGCCTTCTTCAAGGGCACGGAATTTGGCACATGATTTCAAAACATAAGGAATAGTATAAGTGTCGGGATAAATACCCTTGGTTATCATTTCCCTGTACAATGCTATGCTTAGTGAGGAACTGGAAAGTGCTTTGATTAATGAATTGTAAAAGCTAAGCTGCAAATGAGGAGTGTCCAAGTGGTTGACAAGTTCTCTGGCATAGTTAAGGCTTTCACGGGAAGAAGGGTTGATAAAAGATAGTAATTTGGAGCAGATGAGTTGGGTTTGGAGAGGCCTTGTTTTGATGGTTAAAGCATGCAGTTGTTTGATTTCTCTTGTAGATTGGCATGATTCTAAACTGTCAATGTAATTGGTATGTGGGATTTTTGGAGGAGAATTGGAAGGGTTGAAAATTTTTGAAGAAGAGATGATTGGATTCTCCATTTTGAGGAATTTAAGCATCACATTTCAGGATATTTTCTACACAAGAAAAATGGTGGTTAAGGTTGTGGAACCAGAGAGACCATGTTATTCGGCTTTTGTCTCCTGTTATTACTTATCACTGGAACATTAAACGATCCCTAATATTTGAGATACATGCACCATTACTCAATTTTAGAATTAATTACATCATATGTCCCCAAACCATGATCCTAATTTTAAAGTGGCCCTTCAACTTTTGAATATTTCAATTTCATCCCTAAACTATGATTTTCATTCTAAATTAATCCTTAAAATTCTGAACATTTCAATTTCATCCCAAAAATATGTCTCTCGTTCTAAATTAGTCCCCAAACTTTTGAATCTTTCCATTTCATCCCCAAAGTCATCCAAATATATAATTAGTTTCAAGCATACTTTAGCCCAAAAAAAATTCAAACATACAATAGTATAACTTGACCTAACAATTTTATGAACAAAGAATGTGATTAGTATACACATATAGCTTGGGATGAAATTTAAATGTTTAAAAAGTTTGGGGACCAATTTAGAATGAAGGTCATATTTTGAGGGTGTAAATGAAATGTTAAAAAGTTTGAGAATTAATTTAGAATGATAGTCATACTTTAGGGATGAAATTACAAAGTTTATGAACTGATGTAGAATAGAGTCATAATTTAAGGACATATGGTGTAATTAACTCTTAATTTTATAAGTAAACATTTGATTTTTGGGTAACTTCCTATTAGGTAACCCATCTATTTTTACATTTTTGTTTTGGTCACTCAACTTTTTTTATCCTAAAATCATAACTAAAATTATGATTCGTATTATCTTGGTAATATGTCGTCAAGTTTAACTGTTGAATTAACAAATGGTGATGTGACATGTTTTAATGATATTTTTAGTTCTTAAAATTTACACATCCTATTAAACTGGTCATAATTCGAAGTAGTTCAGTAAATTTTCAATATTTAAAAATTTTATCAATTTTGATCCCTAAAACTTTAAGAACCAAGACATCTCTCGTTGTTTCAAGTAGAAGAAACGATTCAAAGTCCTAGTGTCTCGAGTTGGAGCAATACATCTTTCATCGCTTTAACTTAGAGGAGCAATTCACTTTGTTTAAAGTCTCGATGTTTCAAGTTGGAGGACCGAAAATATTTTACATCGTTTCAAGTTAGACAAGTGGTTTACTTTTTTTTTAAAGTCTCAGTGTGTCAAGTTAGAATACCAAAGACATCTCTATTTAATATTTGAAAAAAAAAATAAGGAAAATCCTTAGGTAAAGCATGACGATTCTCTTCCAATTAAAAAAAAATACAAAGTCATCAAGAAAGTAGGATGAATTTACCTTAGACGTCGAAGACTGTACGAGTATTTCAATAAACATTGTAGAAACCAGAAACAACCCCATCTTCCTAGGTAATATTTGAACCAACCCCACTTCACTATCTTCTTAATTACAATATTTCCCTATTTTTATCCAGAGAAATCAAACTAAAAATATTGTTCGTGAACTATTCATATAATATTTGTTTATGTTCGTTTGTTATGCTAAATGAACGTGCATGAACAAAATTTTTATGTTCATTTAATAAACAAACGAACACGAGCATAGGTGTGTTCGGTTCGTTCATGTTTACGAACAAGCTCATTTATCGACTCGTTCGTCTATGTTCATGAACAAGCTCATTTACTTTTAATTTTTTTTTTACATTTTAAATATTGGTGAATGTGGGGACTAAATTGAACAAATGGTAAAATTTGGAGTTTAAACTAAGCTTAATGAGTTTAAACGCTAGCGGCACATGCTAAATGAACATGTTTGTGAATATATAAACGAATGTTAAAGGAATATGTTCATGAACGCTAAACGGACATATTCACGAACGTTAAATAAATATGTTCGCAAACGCTAAATGAACGAACATGAATAACTTCATAAACAAATAAATGAACACTAATACAATAGTAAAAATCCAATCAAATACGAACGGAACATAAACACTTTTATAATAAACAAACAAACACGAAAACAACATTATTCGTCAAAACCCAGTAATTTACATCCTTATGTTAAATGCTAATGACTTCCAACTAGCGTTCTTCTCCGAGGCCTGAGTCAAAAGAAAATGCATAGACTTCTGCTATAAAGATTCCTTCAAGTTTTTATTATATTTTATTTTTACTTAATATTATTTTTCTTTTTTAAATTTTATGTTTAACTTGCCATGTCATCTTTAATGGTTTTATAATACGAATAATTCCAAAGTGCAAATTCATCTTCTTGTTATAAAATAAAGGTTTTATAATACGAATAGTTCCAAAGCGCAAGATCATCTTCTTGTTAGAAAATAAAAATTATAGTCATTTTTTCTTTTTATATTTCCTTTTTTTTAATTGTTTGTGTGTTTTTTATTATTATTTACTTTTCATTTTTAACGATGACGTCGATTTTAGATTGATCGTCGACCGTTCACACTACTTTTTCTTGCTTTCCTTTCTTTCTATTTCTCTATATTAAATGTTATATTTTTAGTTATGTTATTTTATTTTATTGATCTTTTATTTTTCTTATGAAAACGATGAATGGTTTTGTCTACTCTTGCAACATTCTTTGTCTGCTCTGTAGTAGATGTTTCCTTTTCTTTATTGAGTTATACGAATAACCCATGTTTTGGGTTATTCGAACCAAATCTCAAAAAAAAAAAAACGTGCACATGCGAGAAATGAACGAATCAAAAAAAATACTACCTTTTATTTTCTTTCCGAATCGTTTACAATAGTTTTGCATTTGTATTTTCCGTATTTTCCTCTGTATTGTCAATGATTAAGAAAGATTTTGAACAGACATTATCTTACAATTACTTCGGACTATTGAAAACAATTTTTAAATCCAAAAACAAGAAATGATCCTCTTTCTATGATCGTCTTTCTATCTCATAAATCTTAAATTTATTAGGCACACAACATTTACATTTGAAATTTTCAAAGTAAATTGAAGGGTTCTAAGTGCTATTAGTGTATCAAGTTAGAACATTGATTTATCTACCCTATTCAATCAACGGGATGCATAAGAACATGAAGAACATATTTTAAGAGAACAATTATTGTTGTTGTTATTGAGTATAATTGGTTTTGTTATGAAATTAGGAAGATTTTGACGAGTAAACAAATAAGTTCATAAAGTAAAAAAACACATAATTTTTACGTGAAAATTTTTAAATTAGAAAAGCAACAAATAGAAAGAAATTTAACCATGCCAAAAATAGGTTACAAGAGAGACTACATAAATCATACTAACGTGATAAATACTCACTAATCCGCACTAAACCCTTTTTTCTCTCACACAACTCCTAGTTAGGTACATATTTTTAAAGTGTACATATTTATAAAAAAACCCTCTAAAATGAACTTGTTAGATCCTTATTTTCTCCCAGAAAATTATTTATTAAGCAAGGGTTTTTTTTTAATAGTTTGAGGTGAATACAAGAGTATTATCTGTTCGAAATCTTTCTTAATTATTAATAATGCATGCACTTTATAGACGTAATTGTTCGAATTTAATTTAGGACTTTAACAAAGAGTAATACTCCTTTTAACAACTTAAGTGGTTTGGTGGGTTGATTCAAACTTTAAAGTTAGAAATACACTGTAAAATGAAATGAAAGCCTCTTTTTTTACATTAACCTTAATCGAGGTTAGCTTTAATTTGGTGGTCAGCCGACAAGACAGGTGGATCAGTTAATAGCCGTTAAGACTGCCTTTTAACGGTTTTTTAAAAATGGAACCGTTTGAACATAGTTTGCGGCAAAAGGATAAAGTATGGTCCTCACAAGGACAAGAGGTGATTGATTTATGTGATAATTCCACCCTCAACTTTTCACCTTCTTACGTTTATTTTCTGTCTCTTTCTTTATAAAGATTGCATTTCTTTTTAAATCAGAGACGGTTGATCCTGGCTTTGCTTTGTTTGAATACAAAGCAAAGCAACAAGGCAATCGCATGGGTTATTAATTAATTTGCAGGTGATCCCTAGTCCCAGGGTTCATTGTTTTCATGAATTGAAAAAAACCGGGTTTTGAATTCGGTTTCTATTCCTCTTGGTGATTTTATTTATTGGGTTGTAATTCAGAATTCGGTTTTCATGAATCATGGGGTTGTTCTAAAGATCAATCTTGTTTCTTTCTGCAAATTACCAGGTACCCTTGTTTAGGTTCTTATTTTTTGTTTCGTTTAAATTCTGTTTTCTATGTGTTTGATTATTTGCCTCTTCGAGCTTGATAATGTATTTTCTGAGCTTTGAATCGTTCTATAATTCTCTTTTCATAACTTATCATCTGTTGCAATTTGTGATTTTGAACGCCAATATGTAGAGGAGAAATGAGAGTTTTCTGGGTGTTTGATATTGGTAGAAATTTGGGTTTTTTGCATTTCAGAAACAGAAACCGAATCCGAATCCGAATCCGAATCCGTTTGCTTGACGTCTTATGAAGTTGAGGTAGTGAACAGTGGTTGGTAATATGGCAACTTCGCCAGTTAAGGAAACGGATATTATGGTTCTGAAAGAAACGCTTCGCTCTCAACAGCAACTTCTACAGAAGCTCTATGCCGAGCTCGATGTGGAAAGAGAAGCCACCGCAACCGCCACCAATGAAGCTATGTCAATGATATTGCGGTTGCAAGGTGAAAAGGCCTCGATGAAGATGGAAGCAAGCCAATACAAGAGAATGGCAGAAGAAAAGATAAGCCATACAGAGGAATCTCTTGCGATTTTCGAAGAGCTGATGTATCAGAAAGAAATGGAAATTTCTGCTCTTGAGTTCCAAATTGAGGCTTATAAGTACAAACTTCTAAGTTTGGGATGTGATGAATTGGATGACATCGAGAAAAATTTTCCGGAGAATCGATTTGCAGAACGAAATGATGCAACACGAGGAGAAATAGAGATATATTCCACTATTAGAAGACTCAGCTCCCTGCCGTCACTTCTACCGACGGATTTCTCTAAAGTAAAGAGTACTAGCGATGGAGAAAAGCATGCAAATCCAATGCTAGAATCGAGTTCAAGCATAGATGCCAGAAATCTTGACTCAGTAGTCCGCGATCATGGCTTTGATTCAAGGAGAAGTTCACCACGCTCAGCGGAGTTCAATTCTTACTGGGAACAGATCAGAATTCTAGATGAGAAGGTGAAAGAGATTTCAGATTGTAAAGAAGTTAGTACAAAGAAGTTACCCAAAATAAAAGTAAAACCGGAGTCCCAATGTACCAGTCCAAGAGCAAAACTTCCCCCTAAATGTCAAAAACTGAAAACTTCTGAAGATCCATCAGAGAAAGTCACTCCAAGTTCTGCCAATTCTGCTAAATCTGTTCATGATGTATTCGAAGTACATTGCAAATTCGAAGTTCCAGAAAGCAGTGAAAGAAAAAAAAGTAATGAGCAAAAGAATAAAGGGAAGTTATATGTTGAAGAAGATAATAGGCTAAAGAAGCCAGATTTGTTCATGATTGGATCACCTGTAGATGATGATAGCGATTGGTCCGTCAAGGATGACTTTCAAAGTGTAAAGCCAGGGAAAAAAGGATATAAACTAAGAGATGAGATGAATCCCGACTACGAATCGTCTGCTGAATATGATACTGAATGGATAAAGATGACTAACTTGCTAAGTTCAAACAAGGGGAAAAGATCATGTAAACTGGGTGATGAGCCGAGTGATGACTGCAAATCAGCTCTTCTTCGCCCACCCTCTCAACTTCCTAGCTATCGATTGGAACTGCAACAGTTGGCTCAGAGAGTTGAGCAGCTTGAGAGTAGAAGAACCTATACAAGCCATGGAATTAGTGAAGGAAGGGAAGATGAACTGAATTTGTTGATGCAGCTAAGTGAACAGCTTAATTCAATACAATCTGAGACGAGTTGGAGACCAAATAAGTCGTCTCCTGCAGATGAGGTGTCACTACTTCCTCTATTAGAGGTATGCCTTTCCTCTTGTTTTCAGATACTTATGTCATTGTTTTATCGTTCTCGTTCATGCAAACTGATAAAAATGGTGATCATTATCTTAAAACTTACGCTGATTGAATATGACTCTACTATTATATTTAAGTTTCAAGTTCCTCTCAATTGTAAGCCACATGAATACTTAAAGAACTATTCCACAATCGGAAAAATCATTATATGAACCCTCTTCACATGGATGATATGGTGAGGAGGGTTCATGAAATAATTTCTCACAATTGGGTTAAGAACTCTCGCTAGTGGAGTTAAAAAATCTACCACTGATATACTAGACAATCAGAGACGGGTGCAGAATTTTATGTTAGGAGGGTGAATTTATAAATTTTAGAGGGAGAAAATAGATTATCAATAGAAAATAAAAAGAAAATACCTAAATTATATAAGAATTTGAAGTTTTCAGGCACGGTCGCCCCAGTAGCCCCTCTCAATCTATCCCTGTTATCCTTTATTTATACTGTATTTTTTCAAATCTCGAGGATGCTATTGATGTATGTATATTGACAGATAATGTTGGAGTTTTGGTTGTAATGAAGCTGTTGACGAGGAATCAACTCAAACAAGCATCAGTGCTACAGGGGATTCATATGCATCCATTAGGAACAGAGAAAACGTGTATGTTTTCCTTCTTTAGAGCTTTGTTTGAGCTCTTTAATGTCTGTATCTCCTCCCATAATTTTGGGATGGCTTGTAAAACTCAGCAATTTATTCATTTATGTTTTTTCGGTATATTTAATGTCTGTTTAAAGGTTCAGATTCCAAATTCATAACTATCTCAAAATGAGCTGACGCTCAAAGCATCTCAAAATTCGCTTCACATTTATGTTTTTTTTAAGTATAACTCTCAATCATTTGATATCAAACTTACATATCTCTGACTTACATAATTTCCGAACCTGAAAGCTCATTCGTGCAAGTAACAAGAGAAATTAAAAACATGAAAGAATAAATTTATTGGGAAAAGGGAGTAATAGATATATCTAATTTTGCTTCGAAAAAATATATTAAAGTTTTAAGTATAGTATATGCAGTGGTAGAGCCACTTGTTATTGAGGGTGGGCACTGAAATCCGATTTTTCTTTCGGTTAGTTTTTTATCCTATTAATAGTGTATATCCTGAAATTTTATTTACGTCAATCCCTTTTAAAAAATTCATGTTATTAACATATGTGTGCTCGCCATCAAAAATATTTTTAGATCCACCACTAAACATGTGTTTTCTCGAAACAATTGTTGATTTTTTACAATGAGTAATGTCGAAAGTTACAAGTTTTCTTGAAGATCTTGAATCTTGAATGGTAAAAAATTCTTTTTTCTATGTTAAACTCTGATTCCTAAATGATTTTTAGTTAATTTTTATTAGATTAAGAGGTTCATAAATTAGTTTTAATAAATCAAATATAGATTTTAAAGATTTCATTATTTTTACTTAGTAATTCTATCAAACAAGATAAACACTCAAGGATTACACAAAATTAACGTTAAAAGCCTTCTCACAGTGAACAGCTGAACTCAGACCATCTCAAACACAACCTTTATATAATACACATGAATCAGTACCCATTACTCAATCCAAAATTGAATTACTCTTTGTAACACCCCAATTTAGGGGCTAAATTTTAAAAAATTATAATGTGGTAAATTTAATTGGTATTTTGGAAGAAAATGAGGATTAAATTGCAAAATTTCAAAGTTGAAAGACCGTGTCATAAAGTGCAGAAAATTCAGTGGCTAAACTCATGGTTTACCCATTTTTCTTTTTGAGATATTATAAACCCTCATCAGACGCATATTTTTCTGGAAAATTCCAGTTTTCCTCTTCCCCTCAACCCCTTTTTCAACTCCGATCTACTCGCCGTCCGACCTCCAAATGACGAGCCGAAACAACCATCGTGTTCGTTGTCAACCGAGGAACAAAACCCCTCAAACCTTTCGTCGTGAATCATCGCCGTTCGTCGTGAATTTCAGTCGGAAGTATCATCGGTAATAACTCGGTTTTAGTTGGTTTTTCATCGATTCACAAGGATCGGGTCATCCGTTTACGACACCTCCCGCACCATCGTGTTCCTTGTGCCGTTCCGAGTCCACCAGTGTTCTCCTTTTTCTCCGACGGCGGCGGCGCGTTGGGAGGTGAACCGGTCAAACTTCCCGATTTGTTGAAATCGAGCTCTCCGCCGTTCAAAATTGTGAACCGAGCTTTGTAAGTATCTCGAAATCGCTCAAAATAATTTTTAGAAATTTTTCCGGGATTTTATCACTGTTCACGCGCCCCCACGCGCCGCCACTGCGCGTGGGGAAGGGAAAAGTGACCGGTTTGACCGGTTTTGGAACTGTTTTGACCGGTTTGACCAGTCACAACCCGACCCGACCCGTTGACCCGACCCGACCCGTTTACCGACCCGTTGACCCGACCCGACCCGTTGACCCGACCCGTTGACCGTTGACCCGTTGACCGTTGACCGGAGTTGACCACTGTTGACCAAAACTTTGACTGGCTTTGATCGGGCATTAAACGACCTTTGACTTCAACCGAGTATACCTATCCTGACATTTTTCGACGTTCCAAATCCGATTCCGCTGTCCGTTTTTCGAAATTCGAACCCGAAGGCCTCGAAATTGTCAGTCAAACCCGTTGACTTTGATTTTGACCAAAAATTCCAAATTTCCGAAAAGTCATATTTTATGCTTTCGACGTCCTGAATCCGAATCCGAAGTCCGTTTCGCCAAATTCGAACTCGGTAAGCCGTCTTTCACTGATTTATCACCCGATTCGATCCGTTTATCGTAATTAAGCTCCGTTTCTGATATAATTTATGTTGATATGTATCTGAGGAATATTGGAAGTTGAATTGAAGATCAAAGGCGTTCGAATGGAATTTTATGGTCGATCAGTATTGCACGGAAATCGAGGTAATACTTTACTACCTCTTTATGCTTTATAGAACATGTTGGTATTGGTAAATGCATGAATGGAAATGTTTGGTCTCATATGTGTAATTAATGAAGTTCTACACTCGATCTGAATACGGTAAAAAGGTTCAGTAATTGATTATGGTTCAGATGACTTTTATAAGAAATTAAGGGATTGCTAGAATTAAATTACAAGTTATGTGCTTAGTGGTAAAGAAATCAACCTGGATCTGTAACTTATAATTTATTTTATAAAGGTTAAATGTTAAAGGCATTTGGATGTGAATTTATGAAAATACTCCGGTAGGGTAAAATTACGAAAATACCCTTGTGTTATAAAAAGACAAGATTGGAATATGGAAGTTAGATAAGAGGATTTTACAGACATATTGATCTGATAAAAATATGATGTGCATAAGAAATGATAGTTATACGTAGACATTATGGATAACCGGTTTTTAACCCCAAGAGGGTTTATGCAAGATACTAGAAGTGTGTTAAGGGAATTATTTCAAGATCAGAGATTATTCAAGAAAGCAATTAATCATAGGATCTCTAAATTATATTATTTTCGTTAAGAGCTAATATCGAACTTATCTGGTTAAGAAATTACGGAAATGCCCTTAAGAGGTAGAATAGTCTGAGATGACTCTGAATGAGAAAATACTTAGAGGATTCGTACTTAACTCGATTAAGTACGGATTTAATTGTTAAGATCCCGACTTAGTGCAGGAAAATTTATGATATTCCGTTTGTAAAGTCTGAGAAGACACTTGACCTGAAAATATTCGAATAATGAGTAAATACTGGAAGAGTAATTTATCGGGGTATTCTGCTGTCAGAATTGTTCGAAAGGACTGAAGTAAATGATAAGATTGAATTAAATAATAAGATCGGATGAAAGGAAAAGATTGAAATACCGTGAATCTGTAAAATGACCAAAATACCCCTGTAATAGAAATGACCCAAGAATATCACCAAGCTCAGGAATGATTGAATATCCTCGAGCTCTTAAATGAATGGAATAAAACTGAACATCAAAATTACCAAAATACCCTTATGGCCTAAATTAAGTAAATGTCTTGGATTAATTAAGGAATCCAAGTAAGATAAGTATTGGACTACCTTTAAAGGTAATGGAAAACAATTTAAGTGAGTAGATCAACCCTAAATCTATGTCAATACCTGAATGATATAGATATTACTGGAATGCGTGTTCGTCTTCTTAAGTTTGGCTCGATGATAATTTTGGAAGTATTCAACTCAACTCAACTCTAGATCGCATTCAGTACTATGAATTGGACGTTTGTTAGTCAAATCAACCATGAAGACCAAATCGAATGGAATGGAAGTACAACATGTATCTAAAATTCAGTAACGTCTAAATTACTCTGAAAAACCCGAAGTAACTGGAATGGATTTGACTGCTAAATAAGCTAAGTGACCTCAATGATCGAGGATTAAGTAAGTGAATTGGATAAGTCTGGAAATTCTGATGAGTTTATAAGATGTACTGTCCTTATGGAACATGAACTACAAATCAAGCACGTCAGTATTTCATGATATCGTGGAAGCTTGGAAATGAAATAAAGATCATTGGAAGATCTATTCAGCGATGATTCTGAAGGTGATCTATGAACAAGAATTTGTGGTATAAAAAAATAACTACCCTGGAAGGGAAATGAATTGACCAGTGGATATAAATTGTTAAGGTTCTGAATCTTCGTTATCAAGTTGTTCGATTATCCGATCAATTGACATGGATACAAAGGATTCTGAATACCCTTCTGATTACGTACAACTTCTGAAAACTGTCCGAATAAGATATGATCCTGATAATTCACATTCTGAATAACTGATGATTCTGTCAGTTAATGAACTCTTCCAATAGTGATTCTAAATTTCAACATTCTATCGGTAAACTAAAGATTTGTGTTTCTATGCCCGATAAGATTATCCTGTATCTCTAAATAATATTTGGAAACTCTAGTGTGTCCCTTACTTATATGAATATTTTATCTGATTTCTGATTTGAATTATGTTTTGACATCTGATCTGAAATCTGTTCTGATTCCTAACCTGGATTCTGTTATGATATCTGATCTGAATTATATTTTGATTTCTGATATCTCCGTTTACCGACGGAGAAATGTTTTATCTGGGGGTTTATTGTTGGAGGAAGATTATCTGCAGACTCCTCGGCTTTGTGCTCAGGGTCTAAATGGCATGTGCGGTTGGGTGTATAGTTCTGGGGAACCTACACATTTATGATGTGAACGGATGGGGGTATATATATATATATGTTTTAAAGATCTGTATCTTTTTACTGAATTTTTCGGGAACACACTAGAAAACCTATTCTGAACTCCTGAACTCAATCATCCGAATTATTTATCTGAACTGAAAGCTCATTGTCCGTTAGCACCTGAAATATCAGTAGGATTCCTGCTCAGTATAAAAATCTGTAAATATCTGAATCAATAAGGAAAATATGTTTATCTGTATCTGCACGTTTTCCAGCATCATATGGTAGTTCTGTATTACTGAGCTTTTCGAAGCTCATTCTATTACTCACCTTTTCAGGTTAAAAGAATTGTACCAGTGCATCTATCGACTTCAGTAAGGGAGTTTTTCCGGCGTTGTAGCAGAGTATGGTACATGTGATTAGGGGGCATGTAATTGTATTTTGATTTATATTAGTGACAAATGATTTTATAAGTTTACATGTTCGGATTAAAAAATTTAAATTTTCCGCTATTTTTACAGTGGGTCGCTCCGGTGGCCCTAATGTGACTTCCTGGATCAGATCGGGCTACCTG